ATCGGCGGAAGAACACAATAGAAAGACAAAATGGAGGGAAATGATCTTCGCGAGACTCGAATCCACACCTTCTGCGATCCGAATAGATGTCCTGAGACAATTAGACTAGAGGGTGTGGGTGTGGGTTGGTAACAGACTTGCCCTCACACCCACACCCACACCCACACCCACACCCACACCCTCAAGCTTTTTTAATAAATCCTAATGTATCCTAAAAATAAGTCCTGGTGGCTTCCCAAAATCTAACGAACACACATGCTCAGCTATCAAATTACTTTAAGATCGAGTATATGCTCAATAGTTATGCACTTATAAATTATTAAGAGAGAGCTTATGAGTTCATGAAGTAGTTGAAGTACCCGTCAGATTTCAGGTTCTCGATTTTATGTTCTTGGTTAGTATGCTCTTCGTCGAATGCTAGATCGTCGAAAGAAACGTCGTGTGCGTTCGGCAATCTATACATCGACGAAGCACCATTTCGATCATATGACTATCAGAAATCTAATATTTCGTCAGTATCAGTTTCGATGATACATCTCTTGACAAATAATGTTTTCTGTAATATCTTTTCCGAACACGAAAATCACTATTACAAATCTGAGGTGCAATTTTATATTAAAAATGTTTCAATATTAAGTTTCACAAATATCATTATAGCTGTACTTAGTGATCGCAGTGAATGTTAATGAATATCTTCTGAGTTTCATAAAAAAATCCAGCTTTGCTGGTAAAATAACAAACTGAATTTTTTTAAGGAAGGAATTTGCTCTAAGATCCCATCCTTTAACATGCATGTAAGCTTTAGCATAGCAGTCAGGCTTTGAAAAGCTCTCGGTATCTACTAGCTTGGTAGTTGAAAAATTGCAGAGGTTTTTCAAAGTCTTCGTTCTTCATAAAATTCTGTCTGGATAAAGTATATCTACATTAATCATAAGGAACTTTCTGTAGCTAAAAGGAGTGATCATTTTTGTACAGACTTGTCTAGAGTATGGGTGAGCGTGAATGTGTGTAAGACAAAGAAGATACAACCACACCCACCCTCACCCTTATCCACTCGCCCTCACATTCAATCGTTTAAAAGTCAAATCTTGGACTGATACAAATGAAATTTAGTGTCACAGAGTACTCATTTTTTTAGCTAATTGTCAGGCGCGTCTGCTAAAATTTTCATAAGAAATCAATAATACATAGTTTAGAAATTCTATCTAACGGACAGATGCGCACTGACATGAGCTTTATTTGAAAGCAACCCAAGCGCTATATCTCCTTGTGCGATAGAGTTACATAGATCGAGACTATGGAGTTGTTGTGAATGAGAGTAAACATTTGGATAAAGGTGTGCGTAAAGATAAGTGTGAAATGGTTCTTAACCCACACTTATATCCACACTCACCTACAGTAACACCTGCATTCACGTCCCCACTCATACTCTCAATAAATGTAAATCTCAGAATAGGAGCCTTGGAAAACGAAACTATTCTACCCCGTTTAGTAACTCATGCGTGCCTATGCTTTGAGCATATATTCGGTCCGAAAGCAGTTATATATTCGGATATGTGCGTTGGCAAGACTTTGACATCCCCATTAGTTCCTGTTTCACATTTGAAATCACGCACACACTGCACTAACAACTTTCTTTTCGCATTACATACCAGCTGGGAAGGTGAAGGTATGAACGAAGTTGGCAGAGAAAAAGAAACGAACGTTGTCCGTATCATTATTAATAAACAGCTTTTCCGACCAAGTGAGGTGGTAAGTTTCAATTTTACAAACCGAGTATAGACCTTCAGATATAAAATATGTACGCAGGATCTTCTCATTGGTGATGGAAGAAAGGCCCAGGAAAAACTGAACTGGACACCTAAAACAACGTTCAAAGTACGTGTATCATTGACTTTTTCTAAGTTTTATAATTTTTCTCCTTAAATGTATTGACAGGGATTAGTTAAAGAAATGGTCGCAGCTGATATAGCTCTATTGCAAGAAAGTTTAGTGTTTTAATTCTTCTATATTCAACTGACTTATTTTATTATTCATATGCTAAGAACTAGAATGGAAAACATTGACTTTTCCTTGTGGTTATCATTTGTATATATTATCATTATTTTTTACCGTCAACATAACATTTCTTCTCAAAAGTGAACAATTGTAGCTGTCGTTTTAATGTAACACATATATAACAAATAATGCTCGTTGCTTCATCTCACCGAATCATTGACCGCGTGATCAGACAATTATACATTGACTTCAATCTGAAATAAACAATGAATGACAATATCAAATATATGTCTGAACACCTTTCGTACATTTTGGTGATGCTTATAGTATTGTAAACAAGAAGAATTGTTATAGTCTTTCTACCTGAAAGCACGGCTGTAAATGGGTGTGGGTGTGGGTGTGGGTGGGTGTGTATATTATAAGATAATTCCAAGCTACTTACGACGCGTTTCG